ACGGGACTAACAACTCAACAAAGAAATGCGATGAGATAAGATGAAACGAGTTGATCAAGCGAAATAAACATCCAGATCAGTTCAGACAGGAGTGAGTATCGAAAGAGTCAAAAGATTGCAATCAGATGAACTACATTCCAGAAGATTATCGTGTAAACCGCCAGCGTGTAAGTGCCACCCCAACCAAGCCCAACTCGGGTTAAGCTCATGGCTGGCGTCGGCTCTCCGCACCGGGCCCGGGCGGCTGGTTGACGTCTGCCGATCAACCCCAACCATTCCGTGAGGAGAAAGACGTCGTTTAGCATCGGCCCCTCGCGCACCAGTCCGTCCCGGCTTCTGCAAGGGCCGGGGGTGCAGTGCGGGGAGAGATGGGTCAGGGTACGATCCAAAGTGAACCATTCTCGTGAACCAGAACTGTAGCGTCGGGTAGAATTCCGGCCGTCGCAGACAATAACCAACTGGTTAGAGATGGACTGCATCGAAGTCAAGTTGGCGTGTAAGTGGCTGCTTCTGAGTGGTCGACCATCTGATGGTGAGCCGCGCCGCGGGACCCCTGTGACGTATGCAACCCCTTTCTTCTAAACTCAATTCAACTCAACCACACTGAGACACCCGAGTCTATCAAGAACCACAGTTAACAAGTTCTTTACTTGTACATGCTACAACATAAACAACGCTAGAATGACATAATACAGCGGAATTGCCTCCCGCGCTGGCCTGTGTCTATCACAGGTGAGTACCGGTTCCGTTTTGGTCCCTCTCTATCATCTCTCTATTGGCCTCCTGTTCTTTCCTTCTCATCAAACCTCCCATCATGGGCATGTGGTATCATACATCTCTCCCTTTTCCCCTCGTCGTGATTTGGTATCATAAAGAAATTTAGGCGTTGACGGGCTTGAAGGTCCAGGTCTCAGTGCCCTCCTTGAAGGGAACACCAAGCTCAAAGAGCTTCTTGACGACGGCGGAGAAGTCCTCGAAGAACTTGTCGTTGTCGGCGGCGTAAACCTTGACCCACTCCTTGAACTTCTTGTCCTGAATGATGGCCATGTCGGCGGGAAGCATCATGAGGGTCTGGGTCTTCTTGTCCTCATACTGCTTGGGGCCGTTCCACTTCTTCCACTGCCACTTCTCCTCAAGGAGAAGCTTGTAGTAGTCGTTGGTCAGGACGGTAGGGGAGAAGGTCCAGGGGCCCGAGTAGCCGGAGCGGTCGGTGTGGCAGCGGCCGAGAGCGTGGGCACCGCAGAGAGCGACGATCTCCTGGTCGTTGAAGCCCATGCGGTAGAAGATGTTTCGGAGGTGGTCCTGGGCCTGAGCGGCATCGGGAAGACGGCCATCAGGAGTGCAGGCAGCGACGTCACGGTCCTGGCGGCCGGCACGGTAGGGGATGGTGGGGCCCATCATCTCCTGGATGGCGCAAACACCGGCAAGAATCCAAAGATCGGAGTAGGTGATCCAGGGGAACTTGGCTGTCAAGAGTGTTAGTTCGCTATTCTGCAAGTCTCTCTTCTGTTGTCTCAACTTACCCTTCACAGGCTCAAGGAAGTCACGGGCAGCCTTGAGACCAGCGTTTGCACCGTGGTCACTCTCGGGAGAGAAGCGCATAGTGGCGCCGTTGCTGCCACCAGTGCCGGTCTCCTTGTCGTAGGTACCGCTGGCGTGCCAAGCGAGACGGACGAGAACGGGGCCGTAGCTGCCATCATCGTAGTCCTCCTTCTCCTCGAGACGGCTGGCAATCTCGTTGTACACCTTCTGGTAGTCCTCGAACTTGGGGACGAACAGCTTGGGGGCGACGTTGCTGTCGTTGCTGTAGAGGTAGAAAGCACCACCGCCGAGGAGACCGGCACCGGCAAGGCCGTAGAGGAGGCCGTTGCTGGAGCTGCCACCGGTGGGCTTGGCGGAGTAGAAGCGGGCGCTCTGGCGGAAAGCGGCGCGGGGAGCGGCGTTGATAGCCGGGCGAGCAGAGGTGCGCAGAGCGCGGGCGAAGGTGCGAGTAGCAGAGGCCATCTGTGAAAGTCTCAGTTAGTACACCGTTCAGGACCAAATATCGCTATCAAGCGGTGTTGAAATAACGGTTGCTAGCCAGAACGTTGGATGTGGGGGTCGACGATGGACCGGATATCGCGGGGCAACAAACTGAGATGACATGCTGGCCTAAAATATTGGGAAAGAGCATACCTTGAGTGATTCCAACAACGCTGGCTGACGGATAGGCAAAAGGAGAGAACAAGAAAAGAAGGAAGGAAGCAATTGACAAACGAAGGCGTGATGGGAGAGAGATATGCGTAAATAACCAGAAAGGAGAGGACAACCGGGACGCAGGCTCGGCTCTTACCAATGGATAGAGTAGAATCACATCGAAAATTATATAGCCCAGCCGTGAGTGGTTGACAGCCGTTCCCCAGTGGTCCCCGGAACCCACAGTGGGTCGATCAAAAAACAGTGAGACAAGCCAGGGTCCAAGGAGATAACGGCTTACTCCGATCTAGACGCCGATAGGGAAGGGATCCCGATGCCGCCGCCCTCCGTCCATGATGGAAAAATATATGGGGATGGGCCTGCAGTAGTCACGCTTCTCCCACCGCATCAGGGTTATCTGAAGGTAATGGTTTGTCATAGTTTCATGTCTTGGTTCCGCATCTCTGGGCATTATCTGATGTTTGCCTGCCTTACACAGTGTCTGTCACGAGTCGAGGCCAGACGTGTCATCATCTGAGCTGGCCCGACTGCGTACAAGACGCGAACGCACGTGTCAAGGCAAAGGCGTGGGTATCCCATCAAACGCTCAAAACGTGGAAGGCAAATGATGTGTCAGCACCTCGGATCTCCGACCAGGCCAAGTTTGAGCCTCGCAGCCGTGTAAGTGGCAACCTGGGACTGGAAGGCCTTACTAAGCGCCCTCAACGACGAAAATCTCGCGATGCTCCGGCAATCTCAACACCGACCCTTCCAACTACCGGGATATGTACGTGATGCCAAGCTTGAGAGAATTTCCATTTCTTCTCTCTGTGGAACTTGCTCACGAGTTCACTGGGATGTTGGGGCGCAGGTAGTCAAGGGCAGGCATATGAAGGCATGGTTGAAATATTGTTATTTATATAAACTACATACAAGTCCCCCCGTCAGGGCAACCTAAGGGCGAGACAACTGTGAGAGAAACTAGGACCCGAATTACCATACCTGCTTTTCCATAGAGACAACCGACCTTCAGACTCTATCCGTCAAAATAACCGCAATGAATCATGAAATGACAACCTGAGCAAGCCAACCAAGGGCACATTTCGGCCGCCTGGATCATCCAAAAAAACCGCCGCCCAAGAACTGCATAATGTGAATTATCTGAAATTACTCTTGCTGTCACGACGCCCTTCTTTAGTTGAAATCCGCCAGTCCTTGGGCATTCTCATCTGGATCCGCGTGTAGTTCATAGTAGTTGTAAAAGCGGCCCTCGGCCTTTAGACGACTTGTAGGGTCCAACTCGGGGACCACGCCATTCTCCTTGCCGTCCTTTGCCTTGGCAGCCAACGATACTGAGCGAGGCCTGTTGGACTTTGTTAGCAACTTGCTTTCATCCATGAGTGCCGCATTAACATACCCAAACATCTGTCGATCGACATCAAGGAAATCCTTCATGGCTTCCTTGCCTCCACGATTTTGCAGGTAGTTCATGTAAATACGACCAAGCTCCTGTTTGATACCGAGGGAGAGACGGCTCTTGGTGCACATCTGGGTGAACACCCTCTTGACAAGCTCCAAGTGCTTGGTCTCCATCTCGCTGTTGGTGGGCTGCTGGAGCTCAAAGTCAAACCACTGTTGCCAGAAATGTCGACTGTCGGCATAGGCGTCAGCGTCCTTGGAGAAGGCAGCACGAGCTTCGTCAACGGATCCTTTAACCTTCCAAAGCAAAGTAGCCCACTCCGTGACACAGGCCGCCTTGGTGTAGATGCTCACGGTAGGCGAGGCGATTTGAGCCCTCAACACCTCTATCGCGGCGTCCAAACCAGCCTGGCGACGTTCCAGATTAGCCCACGAAACGATCGTCTCGACGCTGTCTGGCAGTATGTCCAGCACAGCTTCATGAATGGCCCGCGCTCTATCGACTCTGTCGTTCACTTCCTCGAAATACGCAAACTGCAGTCGGATACCAGGTCGGCTGATAGGTACGAAGAGCGTAGCGGCGCGAAGGTAGATGTTCCTAACCTCTTCTCCCTTGCCCTCCTGCCCAGCCATCCAGCGCGCATACCGGAACCACATCTCGTCATAAAGAGCGCAGGTAACCATACATCTCTCATACAGCACGACGATTCTGTTGTAATCTCCCTCGGCCTCTTCAAAATCGAGATACTTGCGCCAGTTGGCCAGCTGTGAGTGGTCGAGCTCTGTGACATGAAAGTATGGTCGCTTGATTTCGGCTTCGTATGTCCACCGCTTTGTTGTCTCGGTTTGAGTGTTCTGGAAAGTCAAGTAGAAGAACTGGTCGATCTTGCCCCTGATATCCCGTTCGACCTCCAGCTCAGTCTTCTGCAAACCGAGGTGAACGGCTTCGCCCTCAACTTCTGCGCGATAGCGGGCCAGCTCCTCAGCTGAAACTAGCTCCTCGAGAGGCCGGGTATGAGCAAGTTGGCGGAATCGCTCGTAGTAGCGGGCGTACTGGTGCATCGGGATGTGAATGACACGCTTGAGGATGTCAAAGATCTTGTCGTGCGCCTCTTGTCTGGTTTCATACTCCAGATACTTATCCCAAAAGGGGTGCGACAAAAAATCTAAACCAATGTGGGTAGCCGCCCTCTCGAAAAGCCTAGCATATCAGTTAGAACAATGTAAACAGAATCGAGAAGGGATGGACGGGTTGGGAAGGATGGGCAAATACAGGAGGGGATCTGAAGTGTAGGCGGCGCATTTCCATCCAAATCAACCAAACTGCAACTCGGAGGTATGTGCCAACAGAAAACGGGTACAATGCCACAGCGAACGGAAAGTCATCTGCTGAGCACAGCAGATCCTGGTCAAGTAATGTGAGAGAACGATCTCAGCAGGGAGGAGGCTGCCTTGGTGTTTCTCACCATGTCGAGAGGGTTGAGGGCTCGAAGTATCTTTTGCTTGGTTCGGCAGGCGGGCCGCGAGCGGCATCGCATGACAGAATTGCTGCGTGTGAGGAAGGTCTTGGGATCTTGGGATAGGGAAGGAAATGTCCAAGTATACTTACTCTCTTACAAGGTGGGGGATGTGGGTCGTTTCCATCTTGAAAGAGCAATATTCGGTCCAGAGGTCAACCGAGTTGGTGATGCTGGCGCAACCTCTCTCGTAGACAATCTCGGCCGATTCGGGCCCAGCGATGTTGAACTCGAGGTCGGCATACTTCTTCCAGTAGCCAAACAGGAGGGGGAATTTGAGAAGGAAGCGGTCGTAAGAGTTGCGAAGTGTAGCTAGTGCTTGGGGACTGGAATTCCGGTTGAGACCGCCGTCAAGGCTCTCACATGCGCGGATCAACTTCTCCCAGTTCTCAAAGTTGTCCGTGTCGGCTTCCTGCGTGCGCAATGAAGTTAGATGCATTGCCTTGAAAAGTAGGCGGGTTATTCATTACTTACGACGTCGGCAGTGAGGCGGGCAATCTCCGAATTCTCCTCATCGGTTCCGCCATAATTATTAAAGTCGCCCATCGCTGCGGATGTTGCTATGTGCGAGGTGATGCAGTAGGGCTGGCGAGGCTTGGTGAATGTAGCAAGTATTTAAACAGCTACTTGCTGAATCTCGGGTTGTTGGAAAAAAGAATAATCGTCCGCAATGATCGAAGGTACTGAACCGTTTGAACCGCGATGATAAAAGGCTTCGTCGGATGGGTGAGTGGAAGAGACAGCTGGAATGAAGGGGCTGGAAGATGAAGCAACAACACAGGCGCAAAAAAGCAGCCAGCACCCCAGAGGCAGATGCACGCATTGGTCCACTTTTTTGGCGCGTTCCGGCTGGAAGGTGGGGCCGCTCTTCAATGGGGGCGCATGGACCTCCTTAGGTAATCATAGTGTGCACATATAACACACTTTTTCGAGCCCGTCTCAATTTTCCTTCTCTCTTTTTTCATCAGGCTAGTGATGATGACAAAATCAAAATATGATAGGAAGAGGATGACCCCCCAATAGGAGGGTATGATCTCACCATTGATGAAATCTGAAGCCACCAGTCTACATGACAATAATTTCTTCTTCTCTTTCACCTTCGAGTTCTCGCTGTCGTCGAGATGCTTGTGGCCAGTGAGCTGCTGGTGTACCAGCAACCACTATGTCTCGGGCACTAAAAACAGACGGCGTGGAGTTGAAGAGACTCGTTCAGTACTTTATGGTTTACCGTGGGACGTCCTCAAGTAGATAGTTTCGCTGCTAGATATAGTGGAATTTTGTTTCGGTCCATGTTGTATGGATGTGCTGGAGAGAGGTCCAGGACTAAGCTCAAGACCAGCCGTATTTCTGAAACACTGCCTCTCTTATGTCGGTCGTCTTAACAACCGATATTATCCCCATGTCCTCTGAACGACTGTCGTCAGTCAACATACTCGAATCAGAAAGCTGCCTCTTCCCACCCCCCACGGCGCTCTTGATTCCCTCCGAATCATGCTGATTCCCATTGGTTGCCCCACTTCTTCCGTGCGGCTCTGTAACACAGGGCTGA